CATTCATATAAAAACTTATTCATACCTGTAAAAATGGTATGTGCCTGCATATTCAAGAATAAATATTATTATTATTAATCACACAGTAAAGAAGCCGACCGAAGGTGACCTCATATGAAGTGCCAATCCTGAGGCCTTAGGAAATGGTCTAATGACAGAACTTTATATAGTCTCCCTCGTAATATAGGGACACCACCTGGATAGAGTTGCATCCTCAGCTTAATTTATTCAATTGAATCTGTCTACATCAAGGACCTAAACAATCGCTATGCCCTGCATGACATCACGTAATACTGGTCCCAAATCCCCCCGTCCATCTTGGTACCTAACCCTGGTCTCACGTGATATCTGTATACAGCGCAAATTTATTGAATACCCACAGATTTTCAGCTTTGTTTATGCGCAACATTCGATGTGCAATGTACGTTTGCCGATTATGTGGCTGGTCATTGCAGGACACCGCTCATCCTGAGCAATTATACCGTATTAATCTTCACCACTACTGCATACCAAAATGGTTTTTACCCAATATTTTTGACGAGCAGTATCCAAATAAGTGTACACTCCGGAGGACTATATATGGCACGGGGATTTGTTCTTCCTGAAATTTCTCAGCTCAACTGAAAAAATATCAGGATATTGTTTATAAGAATGGTATGTGTTCGTAAAATTCATCATTCGAAATGTAACATTATTAGCCGGCTAAATTACAGGATTGATTAGGAAGCCTTGGCTCCAGCAGCGGCTCTGTTCCAAAGTCAAAAAAAATTACGGCAAAGAACTTCTTATGAAAGGAGGACATAAAAGGTTTCAGTCTGACGCCAAAAATGTGGTCGCATAGATCACAGTAACTGTCACTTCCGAACTGGAAATCACCAGTAGTTGTAAGGGCTAGTTTTGCTGCACATTGAAAAAAAGTGCGAGCTTAATTCCTAGTCGTCCCATCCATTGTGGTCCCAGATTTGAACTATTGCGTCCGAACTTGTAGCTCTGTGAGTACTTATATCCTAGCAATCTAGATTTAAAATATCTTTGGCCTCCCTGCATTTTCGGCTTATTGTCAACGACTATACCGCTCAAAGTTAGCGGGCGGTGTTCTATCACACGACGCATGCAAGCTTTACACAGAGGTAAAGTGGTCTGTGAACTAGAAGTTATAGGTTATGTGTCTAAACAGGATTTTGGGTTCGAGAGTCTGCGATGCAACACGTTCATTAAATGTACGGCCGCCCGAATGCCCTAACCCAAGGATACAAACGCTTCTGAGAACAAGTACTCTTATGAACTGAAGGCACAAATGGGCTTTTATCGAGAGGGCACAGAACCATATCCATCCACATTTGCTTGTAATGAACCACTGTTTTTAGAAGAGGATGATGTGGACGTTATGTCAAGTTCACTTTGTTCTGATACTTGAATTCCAGTTAGATCAACAAACAAAAATGAAATTCCACGTAAAGCAGCTGGAAACGTCATTTGCGTATAGAGTAGACGGAAGACCTCATACACTGCCTCGAAAAACGACAGAAGCAACTGGCATAGGTTTTGATGCGTGTGACTCCGTCTTTAAAACCTGATTGCAGTTGCTCAGGAAATATTTAGTTCATCCTAATGATGGATAGTCAGGCCCTAGAGACTGCAACCTGTCCCCCAGCAGTAGACTATCAACTCCGTAAAATGCCTTGGAAATGTCTACACAAAGAGCGAGAACTAATCGGCGTAGGTGTTCATCTTCAAAGGAACAGACAGGCGGAACCCAGGGTTTTATCGACCTGTGGCGCTTCTAACAGTGTTGCCAAAGAAGAAAAACCTCGCATGAGACCACAATGGGAAGTAATTGGACAAAAAGAACACTCAGCAATGCTGGACATAGCTTCCGAATGAGTAGGTCTTACACCGGCAAACTTCTGGCAGCCCGTGACGACTGAAGGGCCTTCTGGGACCCCCGAGTAACATTTCATATCATTTCTCAAGACACTGAGAGACATTCGACGCAATCTCACGCCTCATTTTCATGCACAAATTAGTAAGGTTGGGCATTAACGACTATGTGCTACCTTGGCTGGGGTACTATTCATTCGGCTGGGAGTTCTGCACAAAAGTAAACAAGATTCGCCAAACCCGCAGAGATTCACTGTCCGGCGTACTGCAAAAAGTAATTATTGGTCTGGAGCTGCTTATATTTTTCATGAATAACCTTCCATCGAGTCTCAGTTCTGCCACACGATTCTAAGCAGATGACTCTGGGTTGTGGAGGGCCGGGAAATCTGAAGGAGAGTCGAACGCACTACAGAGCTACCTCATAATTCCTTTTTCAGTAGCCGAAAACTAGCGGACTGTCATCTAATCTAGTTAAAGGCTGGAGTGTAGTTTTCAGGACTTTCTGACTGGCATATAGTATCGTATTCCATCTCGGTATAATGCTAGCTGACACCCTAGACACCAATTCAAGTTATCAAGTCATCCAAGCCACATGAACGGATGACTATCATCTGAAGGTCACTACGGCAATCACCATGAAAATTAAGAGAGAATTGCTAGTTGAATGGAGGAAGCCTGTATGTATTCACATTTGTCCCTTCGGGTCTGCGGTCGATGAAACGCATTACTCGTCGGGATAAGCACTGTTTCATCTGGTGGCCGCTTCGACAAAACTCTGAACAGCTACTCGGTGATACATGGCCTGTATTCATCCCGTCGAGATACGGACTGGGCCGGAGCTGCCGACAGCTGTCGTATCACTCCGGTGCTTTTGTCGGCCTATGGATATTGGTCTATAACCAGCATTACTTTGAGCTTCGTAGTACTACCAACTATACTCCTATTCTGACTGTCTGCCATTCCGCCCTGTTCCTTAGAGTTCTACATACCACAAATCTTTCTACCGTGTTTCGCAATTTGACCCAGTCGGGATTTTTAAACCATTATATTGAATTTACCCAAAATGTTTTTGGCTTCTTTTCGTCTTCCCATTCTGGCTGACTTGTTTTCTGTGTTTGCCTTTTCCTTCTTGCTTTTTCTGTAGCCGGTCCAACCACTTATCTAGCGACAGTACGTGTGAGGAGCCCGCCAGCATCATAGCATCATAGCATCATCATCAAATTACTCGTTGCCCCACATAACTAACCCATGCTCAGCCACTAGTCGTTTCCTTTGGAGTCGGATGTGGATATTTGTATGAATGTGTCCCTGATGGTTAGCAAAGCTAAAAACTGGGGAACTTTCTACGGAATAGACGGTTATATTTTGAAGTAGCAAATTATGCGAATGGACCAACAACGTCCGCTGGTTATAACGCAAACTTCGGACGCTGAGCGCTTTCGTTCCTAATAGCGAAATCCATCCGTATAGTAGGAGGTGAAAATCTATGCCCGTCTTGTGAATTTCAGCAAGTTCCAATCAGGTTATGCACACCAATTACTTGATCTGTTAATTGTTTAGTGCCAAATACCATTTTCTACTTTCATGAGTTATCAATCTGACGGTGCCTGTGAACCGGTTCCCTCATATTAAATCCACTATATGAGGATAATAATTATTGTTATCTATATTTCAACACGCTGCGTACGTGGAAAAGTGATATTTTCTTGTTCGTTTCATAACTGGCAGAATCTTCTGCTGTCTCTAATAGTTTTATGACATCCTGTCTGTACCATTCAGGACCCATAAAATCTTGCAGATATTTCGAGATATATCAATGTGATGATGACTGTAATTTGGCTTTTTTCACGTTAAGCTAGTAATGATGTGAGGACAAAACATTAATTTATTTATTTATAGAGAAAGCAAGTGTAAATCTATTGGGTCAGAACTCATCAATGGCCCGTAACAGTTTCCAGAGAATTCGAGATAAGTGAGAAAAACTCAGTTCCTTTTTATTAGGGTTGTAACTTACTGGACACTGGGTCTTTAATGTTCCCCCTAATATGACATAGACAAGCGGCGTGTCTGAATAAAATTACTTAACGGTCTAATTTTAAAACTCTACTTTTTAGCGTATGATAAATAATTTTGTAACTAGCGAATATTTCCAAAATTCTTTTGGTTTGTGTTTAATTATATAAAAAGAAGTGCCAGTGGATGTAACCTACAGAGCTAGTGCGTGTTTTAAACTGCGTTGTTTATACTCAAGTAGGTGTTTGCTGACTTGTTCTTATTGCTTTACGTCGCTCCTCGTCCATTGGTGATGTTGTTTTATCTATTCTACAATATACCTTTGCGTTATTGCTTTTGCTTTTGGGTTCGCTGTGCATTGATTCCAATGTGAATTTTGCTCCACTTAATTTCTATACATACATATGTATATATAATTCCCAATTATTAGGTTTAGCACAATATTATGAAACTTGTACTAAACCATTGTCTCCCGTACTTGGTATAGACCTAATGTAGCCTGTGTATGTTTCGCAAGTATCTAACAGACGCATGTGCTTGCGAAACGCATTTACTTCTGGTTACTTAACTGCGCTCACCATGCGAAATATTGTTCTGAAATTTCCTTTTGCTTAACACCCAACTTTCATTTCTTTTCATGCTCAGGATATCTTTTCAGTGTCTGTCGAAATATGCAGGAACATATTAAGTTACTTCCGCACCCCTTAAGAAATATAGTAATTTACTTACAGTTGGATGCTCATTAAAAGAAAACTCCTTTCACCACTAGCTTATGTGCTTGGTAATCCGAGGGCAGTGGCATTCTGGAAGACCTTTGCTTTCTCTTTCGTTTGGTATTTTGTCTAACCTTTTGTTTTCCGGATAATCATGTTGCGTCCTATTTCACTTAGTTGAAACATTTTGGTATGTACCGTATTTATTCAAAAATCGTTTTCTTTTGTCCGTACTGGACTCTTAACGTAACTTTGTCCAAACACTTCTTAGGTCACAGAGTTTGTTCATTATACTATATGTTCCGGTCTACAGAAGGATGTTTATAGACAATAGACTCCGACTATCGTTTTGCAAGACATTTTTGTTAATATTTCAGATCCTCCTGTTGAGAAATGTCAGATGAAAGTGAATGTGAAGAGTTTTTAAGTATCGTGAAATTATCTTTACAAGAAGACAAAGACCATGTTCACGTATTGGTTATTATCGGGGCTTCTGTAAGAAGTGTTGATATGTTTATTTGTAAAATACATTTAGGGTGACCTGGCGAAGAAGAAAACCTATCCAACTTTATGGTAAATTTGCAATTAGACGTTTTGAAACCCAGGTGGTTGTTTCGAGATGGTTTATTGCCTCCCCGAACATACTTTGTTGGGTTTGCAAGGTCTGATATAAGTGTAGAAGACATTAAAGAAGCGAGTGAAAAGTATATGAAGGTGAGTTCCTTCTTTGTAGACATTACCAAAATATTTTTAATATCGCCCAAAGTTGTATCCATACTTTGTCTCGGTTGTAAGAACTTATTTGCCCTAAGATTTTCGGTTTGATGAATTTCATATTTCCACCTTAGGTATTAGATTGAATTTCTGAATCCCGCTAATACTTATCCTAGTCAATGCAGCGCCAACCTCTAAGGTTTCTAGTTGTTAATCTGAATTGCGTGGAGCGTTTCAGGTTCAGCCGGTGTGTTTGTAATAATGAGAACTATTTGCTGGAAACTCTTCTATGCTTTGTGTGTAAAATCTTCTTCGTCATGGATATTTCAAAAGTCATCAACTCTCATTTACTAATCCTGTATATTTTCATACATTTCTGTCTACTTCTGTATCATTTTTCTGCAAAATACCTCTGCTTGCCCTATTATGAAGTGACTATTTGATCTACTGCACTTCTGTTCCAGGTTATGTATCCTCTTTGTCTAAGTCGCTTTCTGTAATCTGAATGTGGTATATCCGGGGTAGTGTACTTGGGTCGGTACTTTGTGGGTTATCCGGGTGAAAAAGTAATGAATCCGAATTGGGAGTCTCGTTGTATCTTAAGAGGGTAAATTATGTGGTTCAAATGAGGGCAGTATTTATTCGTCGTACATGAAATGCCTTATTTCTTAATGCGGTTAGTGTTTTTTATTCGACCTAGGAAGGCTTTTTTGCCTACCACTCAGTCGGAATTTACCTGTGATATAGCTAGATTATGCAACATAATTTGAGCAACAGACCCAACAGAAAAGTGCTGTATAGTCGTAATTGTTGATTGATTCCTTTCTTCTTAAATGTAGTAACTACATAATAAGCGAAGCTTCAAGACGTATTTATAACTGAAAAAAGTGACTCGTTGTTTAAGATTATAATCCGATTTAGTTGCCTTTTCCATTCAACAAGGTACATATAGTCAGTGTATTTGCATACTTATCCTTTTGAATGTGAACAATGAGATTTTAACCCATTTGAACTTAATTGTTGTTACTTCTGTGTCATTGATCAGTTTATTGTATATAGATGCATATCATCACTTGCAAACACTTAGTGACATATTCAAAAAGCTTTATTCTGCAGAAGATTGTGGTTCTTTTGCGTTATGATTACGTATTTTTCTGAATACCCTTCAATATGGTCACTAATCGAAAGGACTTTTTAAAATTACAGCATTTTAAAAACTTGATTACTTGTTGTAGCACAAGAATACTAGCTGCAACGCGTTTTTTGAGCAGCAAATTAACGTTTCTTGTCAGCTGTATGTGCTATATATTTGATGGGATCGAAACCCAATAAAATTCATCCTTCTGTGATGAAACATATTTTCAGATATTGTTAGTCATAGAACTTTTTTGAGTTCCGGAAACAGGTTTAACTTCTGGTGACATTCATAGTACCACTGATGATCAAACAAAAAAAACACAAACTTATTCTGTTCACCATTATTACTTCCTGCTTTCTTTGTTTATATGCCCCGTTTCCTTTCCATTTTCTTGACCTATTTGATGCGCTTTCTCCGCTTGGCATTGGCTAGTGAGCTATCATACTGAAAAATAAGTCATTTTCGTTATTTGGTTAAAAGTTTTCACTGACTTGCTTTTACTAATTAGTCAACTTGAAAATGGTGATCAAAGAGGTTTATCTTAAAGCACTCATCTACTTCATGTCATTTATTGTAACACCAGTGTACCAGTGATGTATAGTCGGGCTACTGTAAGAATGTTCACTTTTCTTGCCAGTACTTTGTTTACCATGATCACCTTGGTTACCTATGTTTTGAGTTACTACAACTGGTAATTTACAGCTGGGCAATATCACTAACCTTTGGAGTCAGCTTAGTTCACAGCCCACTACATTATCAATAAAATAGACGTAGACAATCAGTTGAGTTCCTAGTGCTTTATTTCTGGTTTTCACTCAGCTCTTTACAAATTTAAGTAGATATTCTCTGCGTAGATACGCTTTGTACGCTAAGCTACATTCGTGATGACTATAGTTAACTAGTTCACTAGCTACTAGCCGGTCCTAAACCCGGATAAAGAGGGAAGGTTGGCCTTAGGGTTAGCTATCCTAATTCGTAAAACCAATCCAACCACTAAAGAAACTTCAAAGCACAAAAAAATATACAAAATAAAAATAATACTATTCCTCGCTGGAATCGAGGAGACAAAATGTCGCCGGTTGGTGGAAGTCTTCGGGAAGCCAGTTGACTGATGTATCTTCTCTCAATGAAAGCGAAAGTAAGAATAGGGACATAGAGTGCCCACACTATGTATGAACCTAGCAAGGCTTTTCATATTGCAAACAGATGAGAAGGTATGGCATAGAAGTGCTAGGAATCTGCGAGGAATCCGCAGATGGAATGAAAGTGGACTGTCCAAACTCTTAACTGGAGAGTCAATAATCTACTCGGATATTGTCACCCAGATGACAACCATGAGCACAGCACGCTGAGTTTTGGAGGGGCTATCATGATGTCCACAAGAGCATCTAAGGCTCTCAGGCAATGGGAACCAATCTTCCCAACGATCAGGATCATGACAGCAAGATTCAACCCAAAAGGAAGGAAGGTCACAATCATACATTGCTACGCTATGTACCTACAAATAATGCAGATCAAGAGAAGAGAAGAAGGAGGAATTCTACAGACAACCGCAATCAGTACTGAACAAGACTCCAGTTGGCGACATCGAAATTCTGATGCGTGTAGTGACATAAATGCCAAACTAGGTGCACACAACACAGAAAGAGAACTCATCATGGGTCGAGAAGCACTCAGTGAAATGATGAATGAGAATGGAGAACTGTTTGCAGACTTCTGCGCATTTAGTGATTTGGTGATTGGAGTCAGGCAGTGTGTACAAACACAAGGATATTCACACAGCGACATCGATTTCACCAGACACCAGGAGACTAAAAATCAGATCGACTTCATTTCACTGTGAAGAAAGTGGAGACGCAACCTACATGACACAAGATGAAGAAGGGGAGCAGTTGTAGGTTCACACCACTCACCATCTAGTTCAAGCAACCTATCTTCAAAACCAAGTTGAAAGCCTTCATGGAAGTTGGTGATGGACCACAGTTCAAGCTTGAGTTCAACACCCAGAACAGAAACTGACGGCCAAAACCACAAAGGACATCTTCACGTCAGACATCAGGAAAAAATGAGAGATATCGAGCAACATCCTTGAAGAAACCTGCATGGAAGAGCACTGGAGCTCTTTGAAAGAAGTGTGGAAGGAAACCTGCATAATCGTGTTAGGAAGGAAGAAGAAACAAGATAAGGAATAGATGTCGATGGACACATGGAAGCTGACAGAGGAGGGAGAGGAAGATGGTGAAGCAGTACAGTGCAGGGACAAACAGCGAAAAGAGGGACTGAGTACAATGTATGAAACACTGGACAAAGAAGTGAAGAGTGCACGGAAAGACAAAAGACACTTCTACGACACACTTGCAAGTGAAGCGGAACGGGATGCAGGTAGAAGAGACAGAGACCTGACAATACTATGTCAAACAACCAGGTTACTGTCTGGGAGTGAAGAGATCAACTCAGATGAAACCAATGAGAGATAGTGAAGGCAACCTAGTTACCAAAAAGGAGGAACAAAGGAAATGATGGGCTGACAATTCCAAAAAACTCTTGAATCAACCACCACCACCTGCAACCCGTCCAGAAATAGCACCAGCAACCGCAGAATTACCAGTGAACACAAGCCCTCCGACAAAAGCAAAAGAGAAGTCCTGAGTGCCATAAAACTGCTGAAATCCGGGAAAGCAGGAGGACCAGATGGAATTCCTCCAGAAGCACTGTAAACAGACGCAGAGACAACAGTGGACATGCTCACACCACTACTGCAGAAGGTTTGGAAGGAAGGAAAGGTAACTGCTGATCGATTGAAAGAAGGGCTACCTTGTCAAACTCCCAAAGAAGGGAGACCTAAGTCTTTGCAAGAACTGGCGAAGAATCATGCTGCTGTCCACCCCAAACAAAATATTAAGCCACATCATCCTGGAGTGACTAAACAATGCGCTGGATTCAAAATTACGACCAGAACAGGCTGGCTGGCTTCAGGAAGAACAAATCATGTGGGAATCAAATTGCAACGCTACACTAAGCATCATCATAGGACAGAGCGTAGAATGGCGATCAACTCTGTACCTCAGCTTTATCGACTTTGAAAAGGCCTTCTACAGCATCGACCAAGAAGTAACTTGCCAGGTAGCTACTTCAACACTATGGTTTTAGTGCCACAAACCTTTATCAACCTCATTCAACAGCTATATGACGCTACATGCCAAGTGATTCAGAGTGGAAAGCTCAGTGACGCCTTTGAAGTGAAGACAGGAGTAAGACAAAACAAGGTTACCTACTATCACCGATGATCTTCCTGAGTGTGGTCTGCCGGACTGGATCATGCAACAGACAACTGTGAGGAGCAAGAAGATAAGCATACACTAGCTGGACCGATGAAAAGACCCTCGAAGTAGATTTGAATTTCGCCGCCAATGATGATTAAATTCTAATGTCTTGTCGCACAAACTCGGAGATCTACAGGGAAAAACCAACTAGTTAGTAGAATAGGCAGGACGGGACTCGAGATGAACGTAGAAAAGACGGTAGAAACCTAAAGAAAGTATTCTCTTTCAGCTAGCTATCTAGGCAGCATCGTTTCAACTACAGGTGAGGATGACGGTGACATGGAGGAGATTGTGTGAGGATGAAATGAAAGCTTGTGGGCAGTGGTGGAGGTAGGTTGAAAAGATTGGAGAGAAGAGAGTGAAATGGAGACGTGGTACTGAAGCCCTATGTTCCAATACGAACCCAATAATAATAGTTATGTTACTAATGTCATTGGTAATCTTAAACTACTTGATGATTGATAACTTCAAATAATTACCGTTTTTTATACATTTGTCATTCAGTGGTCTGATATTATTTATAAGCGTGCAAATTCCAT